CCTGGCGGGCCAGGAGGTCCCATACCTCCTCTTCCATTCTGTCCAGGTGGTCCCGGAGGTCCTGGTGGTCCTGGTGGTCCATCTGGTCCAGGAGGTCCCGGGGGTCCAGCATTTGGACATTTAATACATCCACCAGCACCGCCACCGAAGCTGATCTGAATGCCGTCAACACCACGTTGCCCCTCCTTTCCAGGTAGTCCAGGCTCTCCATCTGGCCCGGGCGGTCCAGGCGGACCAGGTGGCCCTTGCGGACAATTTGCTGATATGGCTCCGCACGCACATTGAGGTGGGAATTGCCGTCTGGGTCTATTTGGATTCTTCTGTCGTGATATGCCAAACAAAGCTCTTCTCTTTTCTCGGAGCTCTTGATATGATGGTCTCATTTCATACCATGCAGCATTGGCGATGTCCTGAAGAAATTTTGAAAGGGCACTTGTTGTAGAAGAAACTTCTGCAGCATTTTTCGACACAAAAAGCACTCACCTTGAAGTCAGAAAGCTCTCCTATCGCATCGTCGTAGAAGTTGTTGATGTCATTCACGAGATAGGCAACGGTAATAACAGAAACTACAGTGGTAACAGCTGTGACACCAGTGACGGTGGCGACAACAGCCGGCAAGCTCATCTGCGCACCTAAATTAGTACTTAATCTGCGCGTTGCGAAACTGTTCGAAACAGTTTGTTGTATAAAAACATACTGGAGAAATAGATCTAATTCACCCTATCGCGCTACAAACTTCAATCTTAAACTTTTGGAAAACATTGAGAATCCCTATTTTTTATTGTTTATTGAAATACACTCTAGGTGTGCCAAACTGTGCTAAACTCGTAACCAAAGACAAAGTACAGTAAATTCAAGATCTCCAAGTCTACGCTGCGATCGCTGCCTATACAGTTTTATCCTTCCTTGCAGCATCAAAGCAAATCTGAACATATGGGAGTTTCACGTGGATGGTTATTTTAGGATCCCAACTAAGACGCTGCCCAGCGGCAGCTCGAATGGTGCACTCATGGCTGAGATGTTCGCCTCGAAAGTGGACCCTATGATCTTATTAAAGGAACGGACGACTTGCCTCAACAACCCATCATTTCCGCGTGGTCCTGGCGCGATAGCATGCGAACACGATGCAATTCGTCCGTTCATACAATCTCTGGCTCCACTTTGGAGGCGAGTACCTCAGCCATGAGCGAAGCATTCGCGCTACCGCTTGGGCAATAGTTAGGGCCCCAAAATTACTTTAAATGTGAGATCCCCGCATGTCCATGCCCGGAGTGCATTCAAAATTTGAATTTTTTAAGGTGTCGGTGATTGAAACTAACGTCATTTTTTT